TTATTTATTTTAATATATTCTTTCTACAGCAGTTATATTATATATTTGATCAATTAATTGTACATTTTTGTGCATTTATTTATTGTGAATTTATTATTCTAGTTATATTATTTTACTTATTCATATTTTATGTGATCCTCATGTGAATGATGTGTGTGTGTGTGTGTGTGTGTGTGTGTGTGTGTGTGTGTGTCGCAGGCGACCGCTGAAGCCAATAACCTTGCAGCCGTAGCAGGAGCGAAAGACGCGTATAACAAGACCATGGAGCAGGTATCACACACACACACACACACACACAATGGTGTTTATACTGAAAACCTGCCCATCACACACACACACTCTCTCACTCACTCACTCACTCTATCTCTCTCTCTCTCACACACTCACACACTCATGACTCCTGTGTCCCCTGTGTGCAGGTGTGTGGCGGAGACAAACATACTCTCTCTATCTCTCTCTCACTCTATCTCTCTCTCTCTCTCTCGCACACACACACTCTCATGACTGTGTCCCCTGTGTGCAGGTGTGTGGCGGAGACAAACATACTCTCTCTCTATCTCTCTCTCTCACTCTATCTCTCTCTCTCTCTCTCGCACACACACACACTCATGACTCCTGTGTCCCCTGTGTGCAGGTGTGTGGCGGAGACAAACCGTACCTGGCTCCGTCTGATCTGGAGCGACGGCACCAGGAGCTGAAGCAGACGTGTGTGTGTCAGTTCCGCGCGGTGAAGAAGATGGGCGGCGAGGACTTCTGCCGCCGCTATCAGGACCAGCTGGAGCAGGAGCTCGACGACGCCTACGCTAACTTCCTCAAACACAACGACGGAAAGAACATTTTCTTCGCGGCGCGCACGCCCGCCACGCTCTTCGCCGTGATGTTCGTGATGTACGTGGTGTCCGTGGTGACGGGCTTTGTGGGTATAAACTCTGTGGCGGTGGTGTGTAACGTGGCGATGGGCGTGGCGCTGGTGTCGCTGTGCGTCTGGGCGTACGTCAAATACTCAGGAGAGTTCAGAGAGGTGGGCGGCTTCATCGACTGCGTGGCGGAAACCCTGTGGGAACAGGTGCGTAACACACACACACACACACTGATCTGTGCTTTTCCTTCTGTCTGTGTTGCAACCGTCATTTATAAGACTCTTATTCTGTAGTTTCCTCTTTTCCCCTCTCACCTGTAGCGCTCGTCCATTATTATTTTTATCCAAATTTATTCATTTAAATGTATGACGTTTTTTTTATGATTTATGATATTATATTTATTTTAATTATTATTTATTTAGTTTTTTGTTTTATATAATTTTATTGTAAAAAGTATAGATAAGTCAGTAGCACTAACAATTTGTACATTTTCACCTTGTTATTGTTTGTAATATATTATTTAATCTGAATTTATTTGATTTATTTTATAGTAATATATATATATTTAGATCTATTTATTTAATTATTCTATTTATTTATTTTAACTTGTTTAATTTATTTTGAAAAATTTTCTCCGGTAAACTTTCTATTGTTGTATATTTTATTAAATTATTTTATATTTTCAGATTTTTGTTATCAGATTATTATTATAATCAGATTATTATTATTTTATATATTTATACAGGAGCACTAAAGACATATATTTTATGACTTGGCTTTCTGTATTTTTACATATTTTTTTTTGATCATGCCAGATTAAGGTTATTTTAGAAGTGCGTAGAATTTAGATTTTATTTTGAACTCCCCTGAAAAATCTTTCAACTTTATATTGTAATTGGTTCTGTTATATTGTAAATATTTTAATTTATGTTGTACATTATATTAATTTATATTTTGTTTTATATATAGTAAAAAGGCAGGTGTCAATAGCACTAACAATTTGTAAATTTTCACCTTGTTATTGTTTCTGTTATATTATTTTATTTAACTTTGTTTTTCTCCAGTGAACTTTCTACTGTTGTATATTTCATGATTTTTATTATTTTATGATTTATTAAGGCGGTCGTCAAGCACTAAATAATTTTTTGAATTTTCAGTGTTTTTCTTTTCTATTAAATATTTATACTTTTTCAAATTTTATTTCTAATTTCTTTAATTCACACTGAAGAGCTTCAAAACCAACCGCACGTTTCACTTTCTACTTAAATTCACGTCATATTTTCATCTTAACTTTAAGAAAATTTAGCTTTCAAATGAACATGCAGCTGTTAGCAGAGTGTGTGTGTGTGTGTGTGTAACGTCTCTCTCTTCTCATTCACGCTCACACAGAGGACGCCGAGGAAGGTGAGACGTGACCTCTGCCCTCTAGTGGCCTCTGACCTCTTGATTTAAATCACACGAGTGTGTGTGCGTGCATGTGTGTGTGTGCGGTACTAACACTCATCCCTCGTTTTAGGTCTTTTCCAAACTTTTTGAAGTTGCCAGGAGCAAAGTGACGCTGAGCGCCCTGATGCCGACGCAGCGACAGAGACTGTCATCCAACAACAACGTCAAGAAGAGGAACTAGCCGTTTGCTAGCGTCACGCTCGGAGAAACCAATGCGTCGTGAACGTACTCGACTCAGTCCCACTCGGGCCGAGGATTCTGGGGGTTTTGCGGGGTCTTTCACCAGGTTTCCTCTTTCTCATGTCATTCCCACGCTGTATGTGTTCAAGCGTTCGGCCTCCGGAAGAGGACCTCGTTGAGAGCGCTGAATGATCTGTGTGTCTGCTGTACAGATGAACTTTCCTCTGCTTCGATCATTCCATCCAGATGTGTTTCCTGTACAGATTAGGATTTTAAGCTGGTCACGTGTAGGGCATGTTGTGTAACTCTTCTGTTGAAGCAGGAAAACGATGCTTTCGTGTTTATCTGCGGGAATGCTTCGTGATTTCGTGTCCATGTTGGAGAGAAACACACACACACACACACACACTTAGTTTTATACTGTCTTCATTCATGCCATCTGCCTTGAGCATCATGATTCTGGAATGTTGCATTGTTTTTCACTTATTGTTTCTTTAATTTATTTTTCAATTTGATTAAAGTGAATCACTGTACATTTACGTGGCGTTTGTGTTTGTGTTTGATAATGAGATTCACTTGAGGACAGTGTACATGTTTGAATAAACTGGACTGTTTTTATTTTTTTTTTTAAGTTATTATATATTATTTTCTATTATTGCTTCAAAAGGTTCATAAAGAGTAAAGAATGAAGAGGTTTAGTCCACATTTTTTGAAGAGATTTATATGATGAACAGGTTGAATTTAGGCTTAATTTGTAAGTCTTTCGTGGTTTGAAATGAGTAGTTTTATTGACATTTTTAGGTGAACTATCCCTTTAAATGTATATGTAAAAGTTTGTTTTTAATTTAAAATATTTGCATAATCCTGTGCATGATTCATGTAATTCATAAATGAATTTGATGAGAAAAGAAACAGCTATCAAAAGTATGTTTTGCTAACATAACATTCCCAATAAGTTATGAAAATGTTATTTCTGAATTCTCTCTGAACATCTGAGAGATGATATTTGTTCCACCACAACAATGTTTATGTGAACTACAAAATAAAAATATTTATATTTTTTTCAACAGGTAGGAAATAGGATAGAATTGCACTGTTGATTTATAATTAAAACCACAAGCAGATTACATAAATGGAAATTATTTAAAAGTATACTATGTAACTCTTTTTGTTTAAAATTAAGAAAATGTAAATAGTTTTTATTAATCCTTTCAAAACGTGTTTTTTTTTTGTGTGTTTTTTTTTGGTTGTTTTTTTTTAACCCTGACTCGTGTTTGTTGACCTGATGGTTTTGGCGGGAAATTGCGTACATACGTCACTTACACACGTGTGTGCTCGTCATTTCACTCGTCATTACTCGTGTTTTATTGAACCGATGAACGGCCAAGTGTCTCTCTACAGAGGTCATATATATGTTGTGAAGATTATCTGCAGTGCTGGAGTTTATTTTCAGGGAAGTATCATGTCCATTAATGGGTAAACCTACAGTATATTGAGATCTTTTAGTCTAAATTGGTTATATCTGAAGCCAATTTAGATTGGTTATAAATGGTTCTAAATTGGTTATATCAAATATCTGAA